CAAAGGGTACAAACTTCCAGCTATATATGATTAACCAGTTTGGGGATCTGATGTGCAGCATGGTGATCATGGCTAATAATACTGTATCATATGCTTGAATGTTGATTGTAGCCAATAATAGTATATGCTTAAATGTTCTTACCACAGAAAGTAAATGGTAACTAACTGTGTGATGTGACGGAAGTGTTAGCTAATACTAAGCTGCTAATCATGGTACGGTTTATAAATGTATCAAATCAATACTTTGTATGCCCTAAATGTATACAATGTGACGCACCAATTATATCTCATAAAGTTGGAAATCTATATATGTATTTCCATGAGAAAAGAACTAAAAAATTGACTAGAGTAAAAAAAAATTTTTTTTAATGTTTATTTATTTTTGAGAGAGAGAAAGAGACAGACTGTGAGCTAGAGAGGGGCAGAGAGGGAGACATAGAATCTGAAGCAGGCTCCAGGCTCTGAGCTGTCAGCACAGAGCCCGACGCAGGGCTTGAACCCACGAACTGTGGATCATGCCCTGAGCCGAAGTTGGACGCTTAACAGACTGAGCCACCCAGGTGCCCCCAAAATTGACTAGAGTTTTGAAGTAATTTTTCTTTTTCTTTGTTTCTGAGAAGGTGAATGGACAAAAGTATAAAATAGACTTTAGTGAATTGCTGAGAGCATCTGATCTCTCCGTTCTACCCCCTCTCCTTCTCTATATTCCTCTCCACATTTGGGGCTGAAAGCCTGCAAGCTATTTTCCTGGGATTCCATCACCAGCTGCCTCCCTGTTAGGTTCTACCAGCGGGAGACATTGGCAGGTAATTGGGAACTGGGAAGAGGGAAGAAACTTTTTTTTTCCCCCCTTGGCTTCTGGCAGAAGCTTCCGGTAGCAGAGGCCACTGGCCAGTGTGAGCTCTGGGTTCTCATTCAGTGTGTCCACTGGCAGTGGTGGGGAGTGTTTGAGCGGGCACTGGCACCACAGGCCGCAATAGCCGCATCGGCAGTAGGGAGCTCTCAGCAGCCTCAGAGGCTCACCCTGTGGGTTCTGGGTCATACCATTTCCCCCTTCACTTCTTGTCTCCTCAGCATAATAGTGATTCTCTGCAGTTACTGCTCTTTGGGTGAACTTCTCTTTTCTGGCTCATGTAGCTCTTCCAGTATCTTTGTAACCAGTTTCCAGTGTTAAATTGTCGCTGTTTGAAACGACCAGACTGGTTTCTGCTATCCTGGCTGCATACTGACTGATATAGTTCATGGAAGTTTTTCCCTTGTCCATAAACGAGAGCTTATTATCTTTAAGACAGTGGTACCCAAACAAGGTGGTGTCACATTTCTATGCCAATGGGGATATTTATGGTATAACTTGACAAGCCAAAGCAAGTGACTGTGAAACCAAAGTGAAAAGAATCAGTCTTCTTGTGCTCTGTATGGTTGCCCGTGCTCCACTCCCGTCAGCATGTTCTTGGATTGAACCTCCAGCAACTGGTAAATATATTTTTTTCATTTTTATTTTTTTATTTAAAAATTTTTTTAATGTTTATTTATTTTTGAGAGACAGAGTGTGAGCGGGGGAGGGACAGAGACAGAGAAAGACACAGAATCTGAAGAGGCTCCAGGCTCTGAGCCGTCAGCACATAGCCCGACGCGGGGCTCGAACTCACAAGCCGTGAGATCATGACCTGGGGTGAAGTCGGACACTCGACCCGCTGAGCCACCCAGGCGCCCCTAAAATATATATATTTTAATGTTTATGTGTGAGAAAGAGAGAGAGAGCGAACTCAAGGGGCAGAGAGAGGAGACAGAATCTCAAGCAGGCTCCGTGCTGTCAGATCCATGAGGGGCTTGATGCCAGGAACTGTGAGATCATGACCTGAGCCCAAATCAAGATTCAGACACCCAACTGACTGACCCACTCAGGTGCCCCAGTAAAATCTTTGATACTGCACACATATGGATGTCTTTTTCTCCTTATCTGGAGGGCAATAAAGTTGAGGGGGGGGGGAAAGACCACCGAGAGCAATACTAATTTCTACCTTTTGTGGCTGCCTGTCTTATTACAGGAGCTCGTCAATATTGTTGTGTAAAACGATTGTTGACAACTTTGTAAAATCTATGTGTACATAGGAAATTATTGTTAAACTTCTAAGACAGACATTTGTCTCACACTTTTCATTTTTATTGTGTTTTATGAAGTAAATGGTTCATTCCTGGTCTAAAAAGTGTTATGAATGTCAGAATGTAAATCAATTGCATCATTAAGCACACAGACTTAGTTCATCAGTTTTATAGCTATTTTTTGGTAACAAGATTTTCCTGATGAAGGAAGCAGTATATTGACTTATTTTATTTTATTTATTTTTATTTTTATTTTTTTATATTGACTTATTTTAAAGAACGCTGCTTTGGAAGACTTTAATAACAAGTTTAAATTTAGTGCTTTTTAAAAAAATTTCGTATCATTTTACATATACCATGATATAGAATTTAAGAATAATATAGCATAGAATATTATAAATAAGAATTATAAATATAAATACAAATATTTATATTATATTATACATATTATAATTATAAAGAATATATTATAAATTATATATGATAACATAAATAAGATTTAATTGATTGGGATTCTGTCTTCCTTCTTGATTGTGACATCTTTGAAAATAGCCTGTGGCCTAATGATAACCATAACAATTTTTTCCCCTATCATTTATTTACCGTTAGGCACCTGGTTAGCATATTGTAAATATTTGTTATATAAATGAACACATGGATATATAAAGATACATTTAATTCTTATCGAGAGAATAAGAATTATTAATTCTTTTTCTTTCTTTTTTTTAAAAACGTTTATTTATTTTTGAGACAGAGAGACAGAGCATGAACGGGGGAGGGTCAGAGAAAGGGAGACACAGAATCTGAAACAGGCTCCAGGCTCTGAGCTGTCAGCACAGAGCCCGATGCGGGGCTTGAACTCACGGACCGCGAGATCATGACCTGAGCCGAAGTCGGACGCCCAACCGACTGAGCCACCCAGGCGCCCCTATTACTTCTTTTTCTTGAGAGAAAGACTTTATCTTAAAGGTAAAAGAATAAAACTATTTACGTAAATAAGGAACAACTCAAGTATGGTTTATTTAAATAATGGAGTATGAAGTAGGAACAGTGTCGGAACCAAGGGTTCATAGCTCAATTTTTATCACTCATTGGTACAAAGGGATGAAGCAGAGAGCAGTAGAAAGAACTACAAAGAACCATGAGGGAGAGAGGATTACCTTGAGTTGTATAGAGCAGAGCAATGAACTTTGGTGGAAAAGCAGGCCAATTCAAGGCGATCTCCAAGAAGACAAAGGAATGCTCACTTTGATTTTGGTTTCCCCTCTCTGTCTGATTTCCTAAGGGCTCATCATTGGCTGAACCCAGCCAGAACCCAGAGGGTGTGGAAATCCTGTTGATGCAGAGGATAGGTCAGACTTCCAAGATAGAGAGCAGAGTGCAGAAGTTTGGCAAGTAGAGTGGAAGATGCATTATATACAACTATAGCTTTCTTTTCAAGAGATGTTTCTTTAGCTCCATTGAAAGAAAGGATTTCTAAAAGACATAAATATACATTGTGCATTTATTTAAATGGAAGTCTCTCTCTACACAGTATCGCCATTTATTCCGAAGTCATTTAATGATTTATTCATTTTGGAAAATATTTCGGACATATATAAGAGGGTTTGTATAGAAAGAAGAGTTATATAGCTAAAATACAGCTTAATATATAAAACATTATGAAAAATGAATCGAAGTCCTTAGATGTTCTCTCTATTCACATTCTTTTCCTCCTCTGCAGAGGTAGCCAGCCTCTGGAATCTGGTGAATATTCTCATTCATTTCTTTGATTGTTAATATTTATCTTTACCCACCCAAACAATATATAGAATTGTTGTTGTTCAGTTAGTATAATTCAGTTATACAAGATGCATACATTCTAGAGATCTAATGTATAACATAGAGCCTGTAGGTAACAATAATGTTTTGTGTAACCAAACATTTGTTAAGAGGGTAAATATCATGTTGTGGTCTTACAAAGAAAGAAAGAAAGAAAGAAAGAAAGAAAGAAAGAAAGAAAGAAAGAAA